TGGTTTGCACTGTGGGCACTGTATGAGAAGTTCACGGGTTCGATACCGGTAGGATCAATTTAACAAATTAACTTTTCTAAATGGTTCTGGTATTGGTATTCTATTGTAAGACAATCACCTGGTCTGAAACTAGGGAACTCTCTGTACATACTCCCCATGAGTATCAGAGCAACAGAATCCCAGAGCAGAACCAATTTACAAAAGTTCATTTCCGAAATTGGTTCTACTGGGAATCGAACCTGGGATCACCAACGATGGAATTTATCCCGGAGCATAACTCAGAACACCCAGGCCAAAACAAGTTTCGAAAAGTTCACATTTAGTTTTATAGTTGATTGAGCTGAAATTTTACGGTTTTTAAATAATTCTCGAATAACTAGAAAAATCGGGTATGAGAATTCTCGAAACTCAAGAAAGAAAGTCAGACACCCTAGCTCGTAATAAATGGCATTGTATAAAATTCAACATTTACGTATAAAATTTATTTATAAATAATAAAGGTTACTCCATTATACCTGTGTTCAAGTAGTTTTCACTAGAAGCTACATATGATGCATTTTGGTAAGTTTCCAGTAGAAGCTGAATATGGTGCTTTTTGCGCCTTTCAATTGTTGCAAGCAAAATTAGGCAGTACTGCAATGACATTACAATTTAAATTCAACGTTTTAGCTTTTTCATATTCCTTTACATATCACTACGTTTAAATAGGTTGACTTGGGACATTTTTTTCGTGGTTTTTGTATTAGACCCGTCGTTCATTTATTTGTATATCAATGCTTGTGGTGGTTTATTTCAGAGTACAAAAGGAAAAAGAACCGATACAAAAGATTCTGCGCTTATTTATACAAATTTCTTCCCGTCAAAACCGCCAAACATCGAGGAATAGCTGTTTTAGCGGTATTTTCTATGACTAACAATAATAATACCAAAAGATGACAACATATGGCAGATTACAAGCAAAGCTGTAGACAAGTTAATTATAGAGTTACGATACATTGGCATTGAGAAATATTAATTGGCAACACCGATACAAAAGTAAAATGTCATCTGTAATTCAAATTTCTCAACAATAACACCTTTAACTATAATACTCAAAATTGTGAAAAAGTATAACAAATTCTATGTCACAGTTTGTAAAAGTGATACATTTTAATAACCATATTTGTTCGAGTATGATACAATATACAATGTAGTATGCAAAATACGACCTGGTCATGATTGCAACCTGCCAGTATATTTTGTGTTTCTTCTGTTTTGTTTCGATTTTTTTTCTTTTATGGTGTCATTGTGGTAAACAATTATTAAATGTATTTTCTCTCTTTCTTTCTCTTAGATATACGAATATGAGGGCGCGTAGCCAGTGCCACTCAATTTCTTGAATGCGACCACAGACAAGAGTGACTTTTAACTGTCACTCTGGCGGAACGCCATTATTTTTTTTAAAAACGGCGGCCATGATCGATCGAGACTCGCTTTCGAACGTATGTGTGGCTGTCAACAGCGAAAATTAACGACGGATCGTCTGTCTCACGACATCTATTTTAATCGCATTAAATTCGTACTATAATTAATTATTATTTGTTGAAAACTGATTAAGAATTCCAGGTCTTATTCCATAGAAATATCTCGCCCTCTACTCACGCATGATGGACGGATTGGAGAAAGATTCTTGTCATCCTATAAATATATACATGTATAATACCCTGAATTATACGGGGTTATTTGTAAAATATTAACAACTCAGGACTACATTACTAAACTAGTTTTGTTCCACCGCTTTAAATATATTCCTCAGATTTTACTTTCCTACAAAAATAAAAATATTGAAATAATATATAAATGTAAATCAGTACCTACGGTAACAAGAGATAAAATAAATACCAGTTAAATGCAAAAAGTAGGACGGAGGTGGGTGATCGGTCGTCGGGGAGATGACGCGAGACTCTTGGAAGTTTCAATTGACTACCTTGCTACCAAATGCAGATCTAAAAAGTGAAGAATAAAACTTAAACGTTTATTTTTGGGATTTTTTTAATGTTAAATAGTCATACAACGAGTTGTTGTTTATGATGCTAGTAATTTAGTCCTGCGAAGATGTTACATAACTCTGTAAATAAGGGGCACGTGACGGTCGACGACTGCCGTAGTACTCAGCATATGCTGCTATGTAGAGTAGGATTTGCAGAACCAGTCCAAAAAAAAGATATTGTCCAACCTTCTATTGGAAAGAGAAGAATCATTGTATTTAAATAATAAGTTTAAGTGTTATTATAATGGTAGTAACGTGCGTCTGTGTGAAACCGGGAGTACCGCGAATCTATAATCGCGGTACCGGGACTGATTGCACCTCGCCAGTACCGGGATTTTTCCCGGTATATTTCCGGAACCAAGAATTCCCGGGGGCAAGCTCTGTATGTGGGCCATACGCCATATATTTACGATCTCTTTATAAAGCACGGTGTAGGTCATAGATATAATGGTGTAAGTGTACGAAAGCAAATTGATCAATATCGGTGGCGAACGTCTGAACGATAAATCGGTTTATTTATTTTTTCAATTAACCATTAAATCAATTATTGAACAATCAGTTAACAAGTTTATGATCACAGCTGATTTTTAAAATCTGGTTCCAAGCTCTTGTAGGTATTTCTACTTATTGTATCTAGGTATCCTCGCGAACTTCTTAATTATATAAATGGCATCATTGCTGGCTGTGTTATTTTTATTTGAGACCTTCAAGTTTGAACGCCCCAATGCAGCGGCAGACGACCCGTTGTCTTTGATAAAACTGACCCGTGGGCCTCTGCGAGCACGTATCAAAACAATATACATATAATGACGACCCCCATTTGTAGCAATTGGAGAGTTATATGTATTTCAATAGTTGATACGGTAAATAGAATCGTATTACATACCCACGTTTCAGTGACCTTATAAAATTCACTTGCGAATTGTTTTATTTAATTTTAATTTATCTACATATTTATAATAATTATTATTTTTGTAGGTTTGTTGAAAACAGTATTAACAGCTTCTTAAAAACATGTTGCTAAGATATTATTATACCTACACTATTCAAATACGATACAGGTAATAAATACCTACGTATGATTCGTATTACATACACATTAAATAACCTTCATTTCGAAATCATCACAAACATATTGTATTGACGGCATCTTTCCGTATAAAGAGGTTTTGAAATCAATATTTATAAATGGCGTTTTTGTCAATCGTAGACTTCATTTTTTACTTTTATTTTTTAAGTCATAGTTTCCCAACATGGTCTAGGGACCATAGTACTGGGTAGGCCCAGTGAGCGCCGAAGAGTCCTAAAGTAGGGGCCTCGGAAGCAATGGGGGGCGTTGATACTGAATTATCTATGTAAACTACAATACACATAACATATAATGTTTTATAACACCAAGTGACGGGACGTACAAGTCGTGCGCCTGATGGTAAGCTACACGCATGTCCATAACAATTATAGTGCTACTCAGAGCTTTGAATTCCAAAGATCTGAGGGGCACTACCACTGCGCCCGTCACCCTGAGACATAAGTTGACAAGTCCCATGTACAAGTAATTTTACCAGCACCCTTACCCTTCAAAACCGGAACACAGTAATACTGACGTTACTGCTTGGCAGCAGAAATAGGTAAGGAGGCTGTTCTTCTCTTTCACAAGGAGATCTATTACTACTTTTTGTGTTCAGTGAATACAAAAGATGCGTATTTTTGTAGTGGTGGGCGTTGCAATTTTTTTACGTGTGGCGCACTATAAGTTTCCGGAATGAATAAGAAAAAATACTATAAATAGTCCGAAAAGAATTTATTGTTTCTCAAAATATTCTCCGTTAGCGTTAATGCATTTTTTCATACGAAAGAACCAATTTTGAAAACATTAATGCCACTCCTCCATGACAATTTCTGAAACACATTTTTCATACTCTTCGACAGCCTCTTCAGCTGATGAAAATCGTTGATCGCGTAAATGGTTCTTAATTTTTGGAAATAAATAAAAGTCACAAGGTCGGGACTGTACGCGGGATGGCACATAAGGTCAACGTTGTTCACCTTCAAAAATTCATTTGTATGTCTGGCCGTGTTGAACTGGCATTATCGTGGTGCGAGATGATATGGCGTTTATGGTTATTTTTACGGAGTTTGTCAATAATTTCCGGCAAACAAATGATCGTGTTCCTACCAATCACTATTTACGGTACAACGATTCTCCAAAGCAACAGTAGCCACGTGACCTGAAAATTTTTACGAGTTAAATCCATGGTAATGTAGACAACCAATTTCTAAAATGACGCCACAGTGTAAAAACAAGTGACAGTCAGATGAAAGAAACTGTATTCTACAGCCAAAGAGTTCCATTTTCAAATGTTGCAATTACTTTTAAATATTGTTTATGTAAGTTGCCAGTTCCGGAAACTTATAGTGCGCCCTATGTATCTTGCCTATCTATGCTCTAAGTAGTCAATAGTCGTACGTCAAGCTTGACACTTAATATTTAAACTTATTACTAGTATTTATATGGTCTACGTTACACTCCATCCTACAAGTTTTAATTCAACTCTACGTCCAATTCCTTTTTTGTCCATCCTCTAAGGTCCAAAGTTACAATAATATACTCACAACAGTTATTACAACAAGTACGTCATGCAATGTCGGGTATTAATGTAGCTACACAGATATTGGTATCTAGTACTTATAAGACTGACGGAATTATAGATACTATTCAAGTTCTTAGGCTTATCGTGATTGTTACATAACTGCAAATGAACCTGTTTTTTGCGGATCTAAATAGCATATTTATGTTTTTTAACATATGGGTAAAAAACAAATATGCGCGATTGAGATCTGAAAAAACCATGAAAAAACCAATTTCATTTCCAAAATATACTACTGATCAGTACTTACGGTTCATATTATATTGAACACAAATATTAGACAAAGATTGCCCCAATAAATATATGCGTGATATCAATTGCAGGTGATAGAACCGAATCCAGATCCAGAGTGGACACTGCTATGGTATTTGCGGAAGAAACTTCGCCTAACCGGCACCAAGCTGGGGTGTGCCGAGGGAGGCTGCGGAGCCTGCACAGTCATGGTCTCCAAGTACAACAGGAAGGAGAAAGAAGTCGTGTATCCTTTTTAAAAACCTGTAAGAAAAATAATGCCCGATTTAAAGATATTGGGTATTAAAAATAAAACAAATATACGAGACATGTTTTTTAAATAAGTACCGTTTTGAAATAAAAAAGGGAAGGCAACTAACTATTCGTAACAATTTTAATATTACATGCAAGCCTGTGCTTTGTGTACTTTCGGCTACAGTGCTGTAGCGGCCGAATTTGAAAACGATACTTACTTTAAAAACACTTAGATACTTGACAACAAGTATCAAAAATTATCTCTTGACGCTTGGTGACACCTTCTTTATATTAAAACTTAACTTTATCTTTAGTCCGTTACAGTCAGTCCAATTATATTCTTATCTAATTGTTCAGTCACCTAGCCGTAAACGCTTGTTTGGCCCCGGTGTGTGCGATGCATGGATTAGCTGTCACCACTGTTGAAGGCATTGGTTCTACTAAGACCAAACTCCATCCTGTTCAGGAACGAATCGCCAAAGCTCACGGTTCCCAGTGCGGTTTTTGTACACCTGGCATAGTTATGTCCATGTATGCGTTACTGAGAACTTGTAAAAATATTAAATATTCCGATATGGAAATTGCTTTTCAAGGTAATCTTTGTAGATGCACAGGCTACAGAGCCATTATAGAGGGGTACAAAACATTCCTCGAAGGCTGGGAAGCTAGCAGGGTCACCAACGGTAGTAACGGTATTCAAAATGCAAATGGTGTATGTGCTATGGGGAAAGATTGCTGCAAAAATAAAACTAATGAAGAGGAGGATAATAGTGAAGCTAGATACATATTTGATAGGTCTTCATTTCTGCCTTACGACTCTAGCCAAGAGCCCATTTTCCCACCAGAACTGAAGTTATCATCAGTTTATGATGAACAATACCTGATATTCAAAGGAAAAAATACAATTTGGCATCGCCCTACGGGAATCGATAGAATCTTGGAACTTAAAGAACAACATCCCGATGCTAGAATAGTAATCGGGAACACTGAAGTTGGAGTTGAGGTAAAGTTCAAACAATGTGTGTATCCTGTAATTATAATGCCAAACTGTATTCCAGAGATGAACAATATTATTGAAACAAACACGGGGTTAATTGTCGGTGCTTCTGTTACACTAAACGAGTTAGATAACACTTTTAGAAAACATATAGATACTTTACCACAATACAAGAGTAGGACATTGAAAACCATAATTGAAATGTTGAATTGGTTTGCTGGCAAACAAATTCGAAACGTCGCAGCTATAGGAGGTAACATCATGACGGGCAGTCCTATCTCTGACTTAAATCCTATACTGATGACTTTGAAGGTGAAGCTTAATCTTTTGAGTCGAAAAGATGGACGGCGATCCGTGCTAATGGATGAAAGTTTCTTTACTGGCTATAGAAGAAACGTCGTCAAACCGGATGAAATATTGCTTTCTGTTGAAATTCCGTTCACGGCACGATATCAGTATGTCAAAGCATACAAACAAGCTAAAAGACGTGAAGACGACATTGCTGTTGTAACAGCTGCTATAAATGTTGAATTCAAAGAAAACACGAACGTTATTGAAAACATTAATTTAGCTTTCGGCGGCATGGCTCCTGTAACTAAATTAGCTACTAAAACTGGCCAAGTATTAAGAGGCAAAAAATGGAATGAACAGATGCTAGAAAAAGCTTTCGAAGTAATGTTAGAAGAGTTACCATTGAGCCCTTCAGCACCTGGAGGCAATACTCAGTTCAGGAGAGCCTTAACAATGAGTTTATTTATGAAATCATATTTAGCGATAGCCAAAGAAATGTCAAAAGACTACATTCACGAAGAACTCATTAAACCGTATCACAGCAGTGGAGCGGACCAATTCCATGGGACTATGCCAAAGAGTTCACAATATTTTGAATTGGTTGGGGATAAACAAATTCCAAGTGATGCTGTCGGAAGACCATTAACGCATAGATCCGCATACAAGCAAGCAACAGGCGAAGCAATATATTGTGATGATATGCCCACCGCTGAAGGGGAATTATACCTAGCTTTTGTTTTAAGTACAAAAGCTCACGCCAAACTACTGTCCGTAGATCCTCAACAAGCTTTGGAGGAGCCTGGCGTAGTTGCGTTCTATTCAGCTAAAGATTTGACACGTGAACAGAACACAATAGGACCAATTGTTCACGACGAAGAGTTATTTGCCTCTGAAAAAGTTATAAGCCAAGGTCAAACCATTGGAGTCATAGTAGCAAATGATCAGGCTACAGCACAAGCTGCTGCTAGAAAAGTTAAAATAGAATACGAGGAAATACAACCGATTATAGTCACTATAGAAGATGCTATAAAACATAATTCTTTTTATTCTCAATACCCTAAAACAATTCGACGAGGAGATGTAAATACGGTTTTTGAAGATAAGAGTAACGTAGTAATTGAAGGAGAGTGTCGTATGGGGGGCCAAGAACATTTCTATTTGGAGACACACGCCTCATTTGCCATTCCAAAGAAAGAAGATGATGAAATGGAAATATTCTGTTCGAGTCAACATCCTTCTGAAATAGCAGTAAGAACTTTAGTATATTACTCATTATTCAAGAATTCAGTTGCACTGCCAGTTAAATTTGCTATCAGTTTAATTCTATTCAGCATTTACAATGTTGGCATTTATTTCTGACTTTCTATTTCAGAAATTGGTCAGTCATATTCTACGTGTGTCTATGAACAGAATAGTGGCTCGAGTTAAGCGAATAGGTGGTGGATTTGGGGGCAAGGAATCGCGTGGTATACTGGTAGCTCTACCAGTAGCCTTAGCAGCTCATAAACTAAATAGACCAGTGCGGTGCATGCTGGACCGCGATGAAGATATGCAGATGACGGGGACGAGACACCCATTCTTAATAAAATACAAAGTAGCAGCAACCAAAGAAGGGAAAATTATGGGTGCTGTGGTTAATATGTACAGTAATGGAGGATATTCTATTGATTTATCTGGGCCAGTGAGTATAACTATACAAATTTTAATTTTCTGGGAATGTTTTCGATATTTGGCAACTCCTACTAAACTATAATTTATTTTCTAGGTGGTTGAGAGAGCAATGTTCCACTTTGAAAATTCGTATTATATACCTCATTGTGAAGTAACTGGGCATATTTGTAGGACAAATTTGCCTTCCAATACAGCTTTTAGAGGTTTTGGTGGTCCACAAGGAATGTTTGGTGCAGAAAATATGATCAGAGACATCGCCCAAGCTTTAAACAAAAGTGCAGAGGAGATAGCCAAATTAAATTTGTATCAAGAACATTTAACAACACATTACGGGCAAGTTCTAACACACTGTACATTGCAGAAGTGTTGGGATGAATGTGTAGAGAAGAGCAATTTAGCACAAAGAAAAATTGATATTGAAAACTTCAACAAGTAAGTTCTTCGAACAAAAGCTAAGTAGATAAGTATGTTTTGAATATAAATATAATTTACTAAATAACCTTTTTGTTTAGGGAACACAGGTGGCGAAAGCGTGGTATTTCAATAGTGCCAACGAAATTCGGGATCGCCTTTACTGAAAAGTTGTTGAACCAGGCCGGAGCCTTAGTGATCGTTTATGTCGATGGCTCGGTGCTGCTTTCGCATGGCGGAACTGAAATGGGACAGGGTCTCCACACAAAGATGATTCAAGTTGCTTCACGCGTTCTAGGCATTGATGTTTCTAAGATACACGTTACAGAAACGGCAACTGATAAAGTACCGAATACATCAGCTACAGCCGCTAGCGCTGGATCAGATCTTAACGGCATGGCTGTATTGGAAGCGTGTCAAACGCTCGTAAAACGTCTTCAGCCATTTAAAGAGGCCAACCCTAATGGAACATGGGAACAATGGGTCTCAGCGGCGTTCGTAAATAGAGTGAGTCTTTCCGCTACTGGATTCCACGCTACTCCGGATATAGGGTACGACTTCAAGAACAATAGTGGGAAGCCATTCAATTATTTCACTTACGGCGTTGCTGTTACAGAAGTTGAAATCGATTGTCTTAGTGGCGATCATCAAGTCCTTCGAAGTGATATCGTTATGGACTTGGGTGAAAGTATAAATCCCGCCATAGATATAGGACAAATAGAAGGTGCTTTCGTTCAAGGCTATGGCCTGTTCACCATTGAGGAACTGATTTATTCCCCCACTGGAACATTATATTCACGGGGCCCTGGTGCCTACAAGATTCCTGGTTTTGGTGATATTCCAATAGTATTTAATGTTTCCCTATTGAAGGGTGCACCAAACCCACGAGCTGTTTACTCTTCGAAGGTAAGTTGTGCTCACACATTTGGTTCATTCTTTTGAAAAATTTACTTGAAAAATGTGTCAGTGATTCCATACATAAGTATCTTGAGAATATCGAGCCGTGAGAGATGTCCTCATAGGAACAGTTGCTCATATGGACGGGCGTCATTATAAATTTTGATAACTAAACAATAAAAGCGAGAATAATTTTAATTTACAAAAATAATGCCATTGTATATTATTATTCTTGTTAATCAGCAATAAAGGCTATAAATAAAATAAAATATTTTTATGTAAACGATCAATATGAAACTTCCTTTATATTCTCCAACAGGCTGTAGGCGAGCCGCCTTTATTCCTAGCGAGCTCTGCTTTCTTCGCCATCAAGGAGGCTATCCGGGCCGCTCGTGCAGATGCGGGGGTATCGCAGGAGTTCCGCCTAGAGGCTCCAGCCACCTCTGCACGTATAAGGATGGCGTGCGAAGATCATATCACTAAAAAGGTAACCACAATTATAATATAAACTGTCTATTGCCGTAAATATTGACTTACTGCAACAAAAACTTGTGTATATTAGAACAATAAAATTTATTTATTTATTTTATTTATTTATTTGTTTCATAAAATTACACAATGTGAAATTCATACAACGTAAAATTATTTTTAGATCGTAGATGATAGTCCATCCATCATCTCACAAAACTTCAAATTTTTTGTTTTTTTTTTTCAAATTTGTACTTATATTGTATCAATAATGTAATATTATTATTATTATTTCTTGTACTATAGGTACTAAAAAGTATTGGATTATGTGCATACTCGTTCAAGTCTTTTCTGTTATTTTTAAAAATAATTTATTTCCAGCTGGACCAACCGGATCCCAACAGCTTCGTGGCATGGAATGTAGTTCCGTAGAATAAATGCAAAATAAGGTGCCTAATGCTGGTTGTGAATGTCAAACTCTGTTTTACGTAGTAAATATTATGTACGTAATAATAAAATGTTGTTAATTTAAAAATTATTTCTATTATTGTACCTTTAATTATTATTTATCACACAAATTTTGTATTAAATGTAGGAACAAAGTAATAATAATGTGTGCACAAAGTGGCTGCAGGATATATTTTTGGCCTGTGACTGTAGTCGCGCTTGTGTCATTTATTTTAATTTATTTAATTTAAATTATTTATTTTTATTTTTATGAAAAAATATTCGGTACAAGTGCAGCAACTTTACGGAATTTAACCTTCGATTTTACTTAACTTTTATTTATAATTTTTTCCTACCTCATGTTTCGATTACCAAACTTTATCTTATTAGGTTATATTAAAATACGTTCGGATCAGACTAAAAATAAAATTGACTACCTGATTTGCCGCCTCCTAGATTTTTCGTCTGTGGACTATGATCCACATGGACCCTACATCTGTATAAAACCGTATTGCACCAAAATTCCACAAATATAAATATAATTGATATATCACATGAAGGTGGCTTGCCCCTGCCCGTTATAGAAATAACCACAAAATTAAATCCGTTCAACAGATATGTAACTAACCGTATTTACATATGTTTCTCAAGCATGTGGTGAAGGTCTTTTTCGATAGATAGCATTCATAATTATGACTTTTTTTATAAAAAAAACCGCAAAAAGTTTGTGGAATTACATTTATTTGTAAAGTGTTATTGAAATCGGTTAACGGATAGTGCATGAAATCCAATAAACCGGTTCATCGAGTATGTAATCAGAAATAGAGACGAAATAAAGTTCTATGCACACATATCCGGGCCGTGGCCGGGACGTGGACGGGCCGTGCTCCGTCAGGGGCTCAAAAAAAATCGTTGTGTATATTTTGTATGTACTCGTTCACACATGTCCGTGTCCGGGGCGGGGCCTGGACGGGCCCGCAGTTCATACAAACTAGCACGCCCCGTCCACGTCCCGGGTACGGCCCGGATATGTGTGGATAGTCCTTAAGGGCCATATATTCCTGGTAACACATTAGCGAAACAGCTCTTATAAATATCAACTTCCGTTTGCACTGAATTAGACTGGTCAACTCTATTTCTGGTTACTCGATGACCGGATTCAACCCCTAATTTGCCACTCTTACAGGTGGAATATTTAAATTTGAATGGGACCTCTACAGAGGTAGCCCCTTTCCAGCAAAAAATGAATCATCGCAATCGATTCACAAATATCGAAGTAATACAAGAAAACACGGTCTAATTGAGAACCTCTATCTTCTTTAAATCGGTTAAAAAAAAACCCGCATTTTTTTAAACTTTAAAATTTTGAAAATATGTAGGTTGAATACCTATACAGTATGTTTTGTGGAATAACTCTACTAGTTTATTATTATTAGTTTATTAATAGAAAGATCGAACACAGAAAAATTGTTTCGACCCGACAAGACCCGAATTTTTCAAATAATAATTTAAAAAAATTACCGAACAAGTTGCATTCCAGTCCTCAACGACATTATCTGCCGGGATACCGGAGTCATCAGTCAGGACTCTCATCCCTTAGAGCAGGGATTTTTTAGACCTTATTTTGTCTACTGCCCACTTTGAGAATAAATTATTTTTTAGCGCCTCTATTTTTTCACCTACTTAAAAACCACTATAACTTCAAATTAAATTAAATATTGTGAGCTATATTAGCGGAAGTTAAACATTCATTCTAAACGAGACTTTTACTATAACCCGCAAGAGTTAACTTGAGACCTGAGCGTAGTAGGTACGTAGTACACAACGGCGCTCAGGTCTCAAGTTAACGCTTACGGGCTACACCTGGCAATGAGAATGATTATTGAAACGCAACTTTATAGTATTCAGACAGAGTATCTTTTATTCAAAATAAAACAAACATAATCGATTCTAATATAAAAACTAATGCGAAGGATGAATCTGATGCTGTTTAATAAGTTTGTTGATATCAGGTTCTAATTTACTCAAGAACAGCCGCAAGTCACCACGTTCGGTAACATGCAAACGATTTCTCTTTTTAGTAAGCAGCGTTGTCACAGTACTAAAACTACGTTCACACAAATATGACGATGGGAATGCTATCAAGAATCGTTGAACGATTGACCACAATCCAGGGTACAATTCCTACCTGTCCAGTTGTTACATTATCATCGTTATATACGAGTATGTTTGATGCCACACAACTAAATGTTTATTTGGAGAACTTTAACTTCTTTACATTACTTTTTTGCTGCTTAATACGCTGTTTTTTTTCGTAGTTGTAGACGTACATATTGTGGTTAATCGATTTATTTTGGTTTCTTGTTCTGAAATTTTCTTCCTTAAATCTCCATTTTTCAACAATACTTCATTATACAATTTATTTGAGATGAGAAGCTTCTCCTCTAATTCATCGTTTCTTAGTTTGAGTTATCTCCCTTTTTTTCCTATATGTTATGTTCTCTGTTATCTTTTGATTTGGTGGCAGTGGGGTGGATGTAGTTTGCATTTTAGCCGAAGAAATAGGTGTATCAATTATCTGCTGGGTTTGTTCTAGCGTTGTATTTCCTGCTGTGTTAGAACTTACTGCAAAGAGCGGGGACGACGATTAACTTTTTTTGCTTGTCGTAATTTTATGCAGATGTTTCATATTTATTGATATTGTTAGTCTTTCTGTGGCTTTGATGAGCATATATCACATTTCCAATTAGCTTTGCTGTTTGGTTTCAATATATTATATAACCTTTTTATTGAAACACTAGTGCAGTCCACATGAAAGCTATTAGAACATGTCCCACAGTTGAGAAATTCTCCGTTATCAATTTTTGTTTTACATTTATAGCATTTTTTTCCCATTAATATTAGTAGTTATAAAAATCTCTTTAATAAAATCGTCCAAAAATGTCCAAGAAAAAAAGAAAAAATTAATAAAAAAGAAAACTATTTTGAATATTTTGAAATCGTAGGTTTAGAACCTAGGTCGTCAGGATGGCGCTCATGAGTTATAACTGCTCGACCACTAAGCAGGTGACTCATACGTCGAAGTAGTGAGACGGCCTCATCACTATATTTTCTTTTTTTGTAATTCGTGGGTATCGATCATCTGTGTGAATCAATTATGTAGCAACATACACGTCACAGTTCAATTCAAAACAAAAGCTTGATGTTCGTTATTTGTAAAGATTTAAAATTAAGCACTGTTCTTCTCAATTAAATTATGTTTTTGCTTTACCACTTCACTTATCCATATTATGACGTGATATTGGTATACTTCTTACATTTAAAAAATATTGCGAAAGTATAAGTATATAAGTACTATTCACAAAATTTTTGATCCTCTATTTGAATATTGTTATATCTTTTGAAATACAACTTGAAAATTGTCACAAACAAAACAAAAACACTTTTTTATTCAAATTTCCGCACTTTGATGTTTATATTATTACTTTTAAAACTTTTAAACTTAAATTAATACAGAGCCGATGTATACGTTAACGCGTTAGCCCTCTGGCGAACTCCTTATTTAAACTAATTACAACAAGTGACTAGCAAACTTTTGTAAATTAAATACTAATGAAATGGAAAAAAGCCTTTATTTTCAATAGTATTCTAGTAAATTAATTGTTTTTTTTTTAATTATTTAAACTACTACCCAAAATAGTACAAATAGCGGACTTAATGCCTCCAGTTTGGCCAGGAGACGGAAGTTAGGTACAAGTTCCATAATCTTGCAGAGTATGGAAATTACTGAAACGGGTCTATAGGTGGCGTGGTTGGCTCGGCTTCCTTTTTTTTGGCACTGGTTGCACGTTCGCAAGTTTCCACGACCTGGGTGCTTCACCAGTCTCAAGTGAGACGCGATACAAATGTTTGAGAACAGGAGACAACTCAGGCGCACAATTAGGACTTGCTGGTATTCCGTCCGGTCCGCTAGCTTTACTCACCGTTGGGTATCTATGTTGAGTCTCATCAGACGTCTCACTCAAATGTTAGAACAGCTTGGCCATTTCTTGATTTCCGCTGTGCGAACGGTAGACGTAGCAGTAGGTACACTTCTTGTGATAGTTAACGTGCACAGCGTCAGCCGGGCCATTTGCGTCTCAGTGAGCAAAACTATTTTTGAAGATTATTTTTGTAAAATATTTGTTGCTAAAATATTATATTTGATTTTTTTTTTACTGACATTCCAATTTTGACCATTAAGTTGTTAAATTCATCTCCCACTGCCGCTCAATCCTTACTAAAAGAAAATAATGCAGTTAGTATCACTAATTTAAGGCTCCGTCATGTATTTTCAAACGATATTGTTAAAGCCTTTAAGTCTATAAACATAAAAAATACTGCTGATCTTGATTGTCTTTCAGTCAGAGTAAATAGTTCTATAGCTGATTGTATTGCGCCTTACTTAGCCTGTGTATTTAATTCCTGACCTCGTGAAGCAAAGTAAAGTTATTCCACTTTTCAAATCTGGTAGTATTTCTGACCCCACCAATTTCAGACCTATATCAATATTACCAACTCTTAGTAAAGTATTTGAGAAAATTATTCTAAATCAGATGTGTGCACATTTTTATAGTAATAACTTAATGTCTCCTAAACAATTTTGTTTCACTCGGGGTCGCTCTACAACCGATGCTGGTGTCAAGATGATTAGTCATATATTTGATGCATGGAAGTCTCACATGATGCTATTGGTGTATTCTGTGACCTTTCCAAGGCTTTTGATTGTGTGCACCATGATACACTGGTCAGGAAACTTCACCATTATGGTGTGGCGGAACGTGATCTCGACCTTCTTAAATCGTATTTGCGTGGTAGGGTACAGAGGGTCGATGTTAACGGTACGAGATCATCAGGGTCTGCAATTAGCATGGGTGTCTCTCAAGGTTAAATTCTAGGCCCATTTTTGTTTTTAGTTTATATTAATGACTTACCTAGCCTTATGGAGGGTATAAAACATGAGATAGTATTGTTTGCTGATGATATTTCCTTATCATTTAAAGTTAAAAGGCATCAATGTTCCTACGGCGAT